TCTTCTGAAGGCCTGGCCTCTCCTGCCACGCTAGCTTGTTTGCTGGAGGTTGAATTATCAGTAGAAAATCTTCATTTCTCGTGTGCCCTGAAATACTTAGTTCTCAGAAGCCATGAGGAATCTTCTTCTGAAGGCCTGGCCTCTCCTGCCACGCTAGCTTGTTTGCTGGAGGTTGAATTATCAGTAGAAAATCTTCATTTCTCGTGTGCCCTGAAATACTTAGTTCTCAGAAGCCATGAGGAATCTTCTTCTGAAGGCCTGGCCTCTCCTGCCACGCTAGCTTGTTTGCTGGAGGCTGAATTATCAGTAGAAAATCTTCATTTCTCGTGTGCCCTGGAATACCTAGTTCACAGAAGCCATGAGGAATCTTCTTCTGAAGGCCTGGCCTCTCCTGCCTAGTTCGCAGAAGCCATGAGAAATCTTCTTCTTGGGAGGGGCTGATTCTGAAGAGGCAGCCATATCCCGTCCCAGTGCCTGCCCTACAGCCACTGGGCTCCCCACCACCCTCGTCCTCTGTGCTATTTACGTTGGAACAGACTGAGGTGTCATGTGAGCACCGGGGCTCTATTCTTCAGGCCTGTAGATAATTATCTGGACCTTATTAAGCCCCTAATTATTCAAGCGGCTAAGCGGGTTCCTGAATATAAGGGCTTCCTCGTCTCAGGGTCAGAGGCAGGGTTAGTCACCTGCAGGACTTCTCCGAGCTCAACAAGGTAAGAACAGTCCCTTATCTGCAGAACTCTCCCTGGAGTGTCTTCTCCGGCACTGGCATTTCACAGGTGAGGAAAGGAGGCCCAGGAGGGTTAGGGGCATGAGATCACACAGTAGGTGGGTGGCAGAGAGCTAGGATGTGTGTCCGACCCCTGCCCGGGCCCCCATCTCACAGTTCCTGGATGTGTACCCTCAGAGTCTGTTAGACTTGGGAGACATCATGGAGGCAGAGCCAGCAGACTGCCCTGGGCTCCATCTGAGGCTGAGGAGGGATCAGGGAGGGAATGGGAGAATATGTCAGGCAGAGCGGAAGGAAGGGGCTCCCAGTGGGGAGAAAGCATGAGTGACGTAGGGGTGGGTCAGCAGAAAACGCTCCTCACAGGTAGGATGAGTTTTGTACAAGGTCGGGTTCAAACTGTGATCGGTTGGGGTTGAGGAGAGGCTTCCTAGTGGCGGAGGCAAGGGCTGAAATTAGGACTTGAGGAAGGAGCGGGTGGCAGATGGGTGGAGGCATTCCACAGGTGACAGCTCAGGCGAAAGCACAACCAGAAACGAACTGTGCAATACTTGCATGGCTGTTACCCTCAGCCACTTGGCATTCTTTTTTTTTTTTTTTTTTTTTCCATAGGGAGTGTGCGCTCACCAGAGAGTGAGAAAATTGAGAAAGGAACATCCTCCAGTCCCTGCCAGGGGAGGTGGCCATGATGCAATCCCTTTTCCTCCATTCTCCTCTCAGGATTTTGGGCGTGCATGCATACATGCCCAGTGTGAGTTTCAAACAGGTCCAGGACTTGAACCACAGTTGATCCTGTGGGAGTCTGGTGTCTTAACCACCGCACCACCTGCTAGCCTCATCACTTACCATTCCAGAGGGTAGACCCCTCCCCTGGATGACCCTAACGTTTGGTCTCACTCAACCTGGGCTGGCACTCAGTCCACCTGTGACGGGGGCTGGGGCTGGAGAGACCTTCGCCAAGCTCCTTCAGCTCTGTTGCCCGGCTCAGAGCCCCACAGAACCCCGGGCATGATGTTCAGGAGCTTAGGCTCTGGACATTCATGGCCATGAGCACATGCCCGTGGCACACGCATGTGCATTCAAGGGGTCCCAGGGGGAAAGGAAACACTAAGAGAGATTACTTTCAAGCCCAAATAGATATTTAAAATGGAACAGGACGGACCAACAGGTGGCAAGGTGGTTAAGGTGCTGGATCCCACATAGCCGACCACTATTTGAGTCCCAGACCTGACAGCTTGAAAATCACACCAGGCGTGTGTGTGCACGTGCCCAAAATCCCAGGAGGAGAGTGGAGGAGAAGGAATTACGGTGTGGCCACTGCCCTGGGGTGGGGGTGGGGGGTGATTTCTCACTTTCTCTCTCTCTGTCCAGCGACCACATGTTCCCTATGGCAAAAAAAAATCCATAAAAATACATTTAAAAAATGGAACAGGACAAGGAGCACTGGATCGTGCTTTTTTGGGTGTACTTTGATTGCTGGCTTGAACGTTCTCCCTGGCTCTTTCTTACCTTTCAGATCTCAGCCTAAATATCTCCTTAGAAAGTCCTTCCTCGGCCACTTGATCCCATTCGATTGTGTCTTGCCTGCCTTCCCCTGCAGACATTAAGGATAAGAGGGGACAGGACTGTCTCTGCCATGGGCACCTCGTAGCCCAGTCTGCTTGGCTCACAACAGGCACTCAGAAAATGGGAACCGAATGAAAAAAGGTCTAGACCTGGAGTGGGGAGGCGGGCCCATAGTCAGGGCCCATCTAGGGGCCTGGACTAGGGGCCTCTCAAGTGCCAAAGCCCATCTTGGGAAGCTCCAGCTGGAACGCCCCCTGCCAGGCCCCCCTACACAGGTTGGGCTCCCATGGGCTCCTCCTTGGTTCTTTTCAGCCAAGGCTCAAACCTGAAATATACACCTGACCCCTCATCAGAGAATTTCAGGACTTGGTAAGTGGGGTGGATTTCCTGGGGTCCGGATGTGGGGCAGGTCTTCCCGGGAAACTTGAAGGGTCTGGGTAGGGAGGTCCTTATTCAGCTTGCGGCTCTGTGAGACTGTGTGTGCGGGCCTGTTTCCCTATTGGTCAGGGGAAGTCTTGAGGAGCCTTAAGGGACTCTGAGTTGAGATTTTGGGGCTTGATGTGTAAGTGAGGCTGAGCTGGAGTGGGTGAAAGATGCCACTGGCTAGTGTTGCGGGGGGGACTCAGGGACCCCCCACTCCTGCACTGCGATGGGAACGCCCCAAGTCAGAGGGAGCTGGGGTTCCCTCTACGGCTCCAGCATTGCCGGACCTGAAGCTGCACTTGAACTCGTGAAAAATTGTAACTGAATTTCCCTCCAACCCCGTATTGCAGGCTGGTCAGAGTGCTTCATGCCCATGGGCAAACTGAGGCTGAGAGGGAGAAGAATCCCACCTTGGGTGACTTATTGGCCATGTCTTTAACCTGGGTGTTCTTCACTCCCTTGGGAGAAGGCAGTAATGATTTTGCTAAACTAGCTAGAGTCTGAAGGCTCCTGGACCCTCTACAACTGGAGCTTGATCTGCTTTGGGCATGGGTGACTTCCCCCCAGAGAACCAAACCTGAAGGGCTGTACCCAATTGGGCCCCTCGGTACAGGTGGCGCCATGCTGCGGGTCCTGTGTCTGGCACTCTGCAGCCTGCTGACCAGCACGCGAGCTGACCCGGGGGCGCTGCTGCGGCTGGGCATGGACATCATGAACCGCGGTGAGCTTGGGTCTGGACATGGGGCCGGGAGGTGGGGCAGGTTGTGGCCGGCCATGGTTACTCAGCCCTGAGCAGTCTGTGACCCCCTGAAAACAAGCGTATAAGCAGTATGTTATTATTCTCCCATTTCTCAGAGGGGGACGTGAGGCCCGGAGAAACCGAGATGACTTGCCCAAACTCCCCCAAGTTAGAGGCAGAGCTGGAAGTTCTGTTTCCTTGGAGTCTTTCCTTGGTCCTGAGGGTTGGTGGCCACGGGTGGGCTGTGGGGGTGACAGACATGGGTCACATTCCAGCTCTGCCAACAACTTGCTGTGTGACTTCAGGCAAATCACTTGCCCTCTCTGTGTTGCTGTTTGCTCCTCCATAAGTGTAAAGAAATGTGAAATAGAGTGACCAGTGCTTCCCTGGCAGGATCAAGTGAAATGCAAGATTAAAATGCCCTAGGCCTACTGTGGTTTGAGTCCCAGATCTGGTGGCTTGAAACTCAACGCTGGGCACATGTGCATGTGTGCCCAGGATCCTGGGAGGAGAATGGAGAAGGGACTGCAGCATGGCTATCCCCCCTGGGGGGGGGGTGATTTCTCACTTTCCCTCTTGCTGTCTCTGTCTCTGTCTCTCTCTGTCTGGCAAAAGCATGTGCCCTAAGGCAAAAATCTCTACCCCCTCCCCCCCAAAAAAACCCTAGGACACCTTGATAAAATTTATTTCACACCTCCACCCCCAGCTCGGTGACCCCGAAGTCACATCAGTGTACTAAAGGCAATTTTATCAGCTCGGTATCTGTCCCCTCTCTGGCAATTAGCTTGTGACCGTAATAGGGGTGTTTCTGGCAGGGTGTCACTTGAGGTTGAGACCTCCAGGCCTGGAGGGTCAGAACCGAGACCCAGAATCTGCATTGCAACAGGCTCCTGGGCATGTTCCCTAATGACCCAGGGTTGGGAGAGGCTGGTCCCTGCGAACTGCTCCAGGTTCTCTGCCATGCATCTCCCCCGCCAGGCCATGCTGGGTTTGAGTTTCTCTCTCAGCAGGCCTCCTGCCCTCCTGGCCTGCTCACGCTCACGTGCAGTGCTCTGCCTGAGGGTGCCCTTGATCTCTTCGCTTCCTGGAGAAATTCCTATTCCTCCTTCAAGAACAAACTGTTATATCACCTCCTCCTGGAAGCCTCTCCCAGGTCTTCTCACCTGGTCTACCCTCCTCATGTGGCTGCTAAGCTGCCTGCGCTTACCCCATTATGACTCTTGTCACTTGATACTGTCCTTGCTGGCAACTGTGTTCCCTCCTCTCTGGGTCTTCAGCATGGCCCAGCCCAGGGGGAGGCCCAGCGGCTGTTAGTGGCCTGGGATGTCTAGGAGGTTGGCCCAGGTCAGGGAAGCAGCGGGGAACCCAGCTAAGTGTCCCTCGGACCCCGGTCCTTCTAGAGGTGCAGAGTGCCATGGAAGAGAGTCACATCCTGGAGAAGATGGCAGCTGAGGCAGGCAAGAAGCAGCCGGGCATGAAGCCCATCAAGGGCATCACCAAGTAAGCAGGGAGGGCACTGGGGTGGCAGTGAGGGCAGAGGGTGGGGCAGAGTGCTGTGCCCCAGACCTGAGACCACTGAGGGACAGGTTGGGGGCCTCAGGCTGTGTGACCATGGCAGGTCACTGCTCCTACCCAGGCCTGGGCCTCCTCTGCGGTCCACTACAGAAAATTCCTGCCCTGTTGTAAGCAGAGGCAGCTCGAGGAGGAAGTGAGGTGGAAAAGTCAAACTCTAGCTCCTCGCCCGCAGCAGGAACTCACTGAATGTATGCGAACCTAAATGAAAACATTTCTCAAATGGTAGAGCTGGAAAGGTATCAACAATCATCCAACGAGGAGGAAACGGGTTCCTTTGCAAGGGCCCTATGGGATGAATGATGGAGAGGATTCTGAGGCACCGTCTAGACTTAGCAGAAAATAGGACTGTGATCGATTAGCAATGTCTGTCAGCCTAGGACGGGCCGGCAGAGATACTTGGGCCACATCTTTGTTACTCTGGATCTCAACTCTTGATCAGAGGTGATTTCACCTCCAAGGGGACATTTGGCAACATCTGGAGACATTTTAAGTTGTTGCAACTTGTGGAAGAATGGGGGAGTGCACTGGTGTCTGTGGGTTGAGGTCAGAGATGCCTCTAAACATCCTGCAATGCACAAAACAATCTCCCACAAGAAAGGAACGTCCCGCCCCAAATATCAATAGTGCCCCTGTTGAGAACCCTGACCTGAACAAGCCTCTCCAGTGTGTTAATGGGGAAGTTGGAGGCTCACATAAGGGAAGGGAACAACCCAAGGTCACGCAGCATCATCCACGTGTCCCACCTCATGTGATGTATGCAAATGGATTCAAGCCCAGGCTCTTGTCTGTGCTTCATGAGGGTCTCGCGAAGCAGGCTTATCCCTGTGAAATGGAATGGAGGTTTTCTCAAGGCCCCCCAGCAGGGAGGAACAAGTTGAGGTCCTGTGTCTTGCTCGGTTCTCATCTCTGTGGATGCCCACGCCCTCTCAGTTTAAAGGTGAAGGATGTCCTGCAGCCTGTCATCACGCTGAACTTCGTACCTGAAGTGGGCATCTTCCAGTGTGTGTCCACTGGCATGACCATCACCGGCAAGAGGTGAGTGTGGCAGGGGAGGGAGAGGTGAAGGGGCTCAGCCTCCCTGCCTCGTCCTTACATGCACACGTATCGAGTACCTGGTGTGTACCACCCGGGTGCTGTGGTCCCAACTGGTGCAGACTTGGCTCCTACCTTTGAGGGAACCACACAATCACAGACTGATTGATTGGTTTAGGACAGAAGATTCATTGGGCAGGATGGTGAGGGGTCAAAAAAGGCTTTGTGGGGATGATGATCTCTGGGCAGAGTTTTGAAGGATGTGTAGGGGTTGGCAAAAGCAAGAGAAGAGGAGAAAGACTGTTTATGTGACCTTGTGCAGGTGGCCTCCCCTTTTCTGTCTAGTGGGGATGGTTTCTCACCCTTCCACCCTCAGAGGTGCTGAAAGGGTGCGCAAAGGGGAGGTCGGGGTGGTGGCTATAGTGGCAGAGGTGCCATGATGCCCACTTACCCTGTCCTCCAGCTTCATGGGAGGCAACATGGAGATCATTGTGGTCTTGAACATCACAGCCACCAACCGGCTCCTGCAGGATGAGGAGACAAGCCTCCCCATGTTCAAGAGCGAAGGCTGTGAGGTCACCTTGGTCAGCGTGAAGACCAACCTGCCTAGCAAGTGAGGGGCTCTGTGGCTGGGGAGGAAGGCTGGTCCACCGCTGCACCTCTGTCACCCCGCTGCTTGAGTCACTGAACTTCCTAATGGTGTCCTCATGTCCTGTGTCTAATTTCCTGCCATCTGTGCATTCGTCTGCCCATCCTCTGTGGTGACGTCTAGTATGCTGCCTAAGGTGGTCAACAAATTCCTGGACAGCACCCTGAACAAAGTCCTCCCTGGTCTGGTGAGTGGCCCAGAGCAAGCCTCCATGCCTCATTGCCAGGATTGCTTAGACCAGGGCTGCAAATGCATTTTACTTTGAGTGTAGACCCTGACGGGCTGATAGTGACTGAGAAGGGTCCCTAGGTTGTGACTGGTTCAGTGGAAGAAAGTGTCATGCTCGTCTAGTATGTCTGCCTTGAGCACAGGAGGAGAAGCCATAGCCTGAATATCATAGCTTGTCCACCCTGCAGAGATGACTTGTCTCTGGGGAGTGAGTTCTCAAGGTTTTGCAGACTGTGGTCAGATCTAGGTTCCAGTCCAGGTTCTCCCACTGACTTTATATGTGACTTGGGGCTTCAGTTTCCCCACCAGGCTTTGTCCTGCCAGGGCCCTGAGGATTCCCCATGGAGTGCCAGTCAGCAGTGAGGAGTGAGATCCTTCAGGCAGGGGTCCTCTCAGCCCAGGGTCTTCTCGCTTCTAGATGTGTCCGGCCATCGATGCAGTCCTGGTGTATGTGAACAGGAAGTGGGCTAACCTGAATGGTGAGTGTCGGCCTAGCCACACCTCAGCCCAATGGGGACCAGGGCAGCTGGACCTTGTGCCCACTCCCCACTCACAAACCTGCTCCCACCCAGCCGGGGACTGGAGGAGGTCTAAAGGCATGGCGTCCATGAGCACACTGGCCACTGTCCAGGTGTGAAAGCTAAGGCCTGAGGGACTCTAGGTTCCTTCCTTCTCATCCCTTTACCCGCTGACCCATCCGGCCCCCACATACCAAGGACAACAGCCATTCTGTGCTCACCATAAACCTCATGCCTCAGATAAAAATCCCCGTTGTGGTAATACCTGCCTCTGCTGAGGGGATCTGCTCTCCCCATCACTTTCAGGTCCCCAGGGCTCCCGAGTGTGGGAGAGAGAAAATCCCAGGGGTTGAGACTGAAGGAAGCTGCTTCATGTCCTTAGCAACGTGGCCTAGGAAAAGCCACTGTATTTGCACATCTGTAAACGGCCAGTGATTCTGACCCTCCAGACTGTCGTGAGGTCCTAACTGTGACAGCCTTGTGAACTCTCAGCTCTGTGCCAGCAGAGCGATGTGACTTTCCAGGCCAGGCGCCGTTGCCTCCATTCTGCAGGTGAAGTTACTGAGGCCCAGAGATGCAGTTTGCCTGAGGTCACGCAGAAGGCTGGTTCAGGTAGTGGCTGGCTGGTGCCAGCTTCTCTGGGCTGCCCCAGGGGTTGGTACCTTTCTGAGTGAAGCCTCCTCTTCACACAGATGCCATGCCCGTGGGCCAGTTGGGCACTGTCAAATATGTCCTGTCGTCCACACCGGCCACCACAGCCAGCTACATTCAAGTGGACTTCAGTGTAAGCGCTGGGACTCAGGGCTGCGGTGTCAGGCTCAGTGGTTTGGGTGGTGGTTGCTGCTCCCACCAGGGCAGGTGCTCCATATGGGCTGTGGAGGGTGGGAGGGCTCCTCAGGCCCTGGAAGCCTGGACACTGGAGCTTTCTCCCTGTTTCTGCACTGAACCTGAACCTTGACCTCCCAGTTGATTTCTGGGGGTCTTCATACCTACATTTCTCCCAAGGCTGTTTGCGTCTCCCAATTAGGTGCTTGCACAGTTATACCCTGCCACTGGATAGATGTGAACACTGAGTTCTGGGGAGGGGGATGCATAAGGAGACTTGGGTCCCATAGCAAGTAAGTGGCAGAGCTGGGCCCTCACCCATATCTCAGAGTCCCAGGTCACCTGCCTGTGAAGTCCTCTTTCTCAGGGGCCTGGGCTACTTCCTGCTTACTCTTCCTCCTGGGAGTAAAGCAGAAATCATGGTCCGGGTAGAGGAGGGCTCTGAGCAGTCTGTGAGATCAACTGAGGTCCCAAAGCAATCGTAGAGCAATGACAGGTAGAGCAAGCCACTGAGCAGTGACTCCCTTTGCCTCTCAGAGCTTAGGCCCTGACCTGGGCATGGGCGGTTGGGCCACTGTAGCCCACTCGGGTTCTTATATTGGATGACTTACTGACTGGAGGCTTGGTGTAGACCCCTTGGGTATGGAGGACTGAGACTGAGTGTCCCCTTCTGCTGTCCCACAGCCTGTGGTGGAGGACCCCAATGGCCAAGCCATCGAGCTTGCTGGCAATGGGGAGGCCCTGGATTTCCCCAAAGACTATGTTGAAGGGTCCTCGCAGTTGCTGCTCTCGTCCACCCTCCTCTCAGCAGAGCTCACCCTTCTGCAGAAGTCCCTCTCTGTGGACGTCCAGGACATTAAGGTGAGCTGCCCAGGGCCACCCTCTTCTTCCTCTCCCTGCCATCAGGACAGTCTGTGCTAGTTTGTCTATTCTGAGAATCATCCTGGGGTCATGGGCAACATGAGCACTGGGACATGCCAGGGCTGAGTTGATTTTCTATCATCAGTCCATCCCACCACCCACCACCCAGCACTCAGCACCCACCAGCAGCGAGTCATCCGACTGCTCGTACAACCCACTGGTCATCTGCCTGCCTCTCCAATGCCTTGGCCACCTACCCCTTTCCTTTCATCTAATCATCAACCCACCCATCCAGCCAGATGCTGCTTATTCATGTCCTGGGTTCTTTCTTCACAACCAGCATCCATTTGTCCCTTTATATCACCTACGCAACACCCAGAACAGGGCTTGAGATTGTCAAATTAGTGAACCTGTATACCTGCTGCTTTCCACCTAAACACTCCTTAACCACTCAGCCTTCCATTATTCATCCTTCTACTTACCCACTCCATCCATCCCCCACTGTCCATCCATCCATCCCCCACTGGTCCATCCTTTCATCTTCCCATCCAACCACTCACCATCCATGTGTGTTCCCACCTCTCTTCCCATTCATCAATCCATTCATCCATTTTCCCATTCGTTATTTCATTCTACCATCTTCCCACCCACCCATACTCCTATACATCATTTCTTTCCTTTATCCACTCACCAATCATCCATGTATCCTCCCCCTTATTTTACCCATCCATCCATCCATCCACCCATCCAACCCACTCATCTGTCCATTCCGCCATCCATCTATCCATCCATCCATCCATCCATCCAACCAACCCACCCACTCATCCATCCATTCCCCAATCCATCTATCCACCATCCACAAATTCATTCACCTCACCCAATCCATCGCACCAATCCACTCTCTTATCTACCTTCTTGCTTTTCCGACCAATAACATTTCTCAGCATTGACCTGTGCTAAAGTGATAGGGGTGTATAAGTTTCAGCCTGGGCTACCCGAAAGCTCATTATCTAATTACACAGAGTAGCAAGTGTCCTGAGGAAGGGAGCTTCACAGGACACAGCTTCCCAAGTCAGAGAAAATGCTCCCGATGAAGGCCTTCAGGAATCACATCTTTTGCTTCATTCGGCAGATCGGGAAGCTGTCTCCACAAACCACTAAGACCTTGGCTCGCTTCTTCCGGAAAGTGAGTGCCCCAACTGCCCGTGATCACCATGCCCTGCCTTGTTCTCCTCCAGCCAAAGGCAAGGGACCTACCACATGTCTCTAGTCTGGTGTGGAACATCTGACTTCTCCGAAAAGTACTCTCTGGGTCCAACATAGGAAGAGCTTAGTGTTTGTGCATTGCACCTTCTCCATCCAACACAGAAACAGCCAAATTGTATGTTTCATTCCTTTTACTTCCCAATTGACACACCCCGGCCTTTGAAAGTCGTATTTCCTGTATCCAGAAATTGCCTATTTAATAGGAGACTTCTGGTTTCAGTGGAAGCCACCAGTCTAAGAACTGGCCCCAAGTGAAGTGTCCTGATTTCTGTAGGTGGCTAAGGCCTATCCCAAGCCAAAGCCCTTGATGACACAGATCAGGATAAATAAGCCCCCCAAGGTCACCATGGAGACGGACAAGAGCCTGCTGCACCTTCACGGCACCCTGGAGATGTTCGCAGTTCGCAAGCGAGGGAAGGCCCCCGTGTCCCTCTTCCTCCTGGACGTTGTGAGTGGAATCTGTTCCCCACTTATTCCTAACCTCATAGATATTCGAGGCTCATAGGTGGGATTTTAGTCGATGGCCAAGTAACAGTTTGGAGGGCTCCTAGTTGATCTTAGTTGTGTGTCCTAACCCCCAGCCACTGTCACCTGCAGTCTGATCCTTGATTCTGCCATTGAACTTTTGAATGGCTGAAAAGTGGGAAAGTCAATGGCTCCTCCCTTCCCCTCTCTTCCTCCACCTCCCTTCAGCATTCACTAGCATCTACAAGGGCAGTAAAGGGCTCGTGAGGGGACCATAGTAGGCGAGAGAGACCCCAAATCCAGTTTGGAAAAATCACAGGGAACTTCCCAGAGGAGGTGATAGCTGGGCTGTTTTGAAGGTGGAGCAGGAAATGGCCAAGGAGAGGGTTCATGTTGAGGACATTGGGGATGCAGAATGCTCCAGACACTAGTTATGTCATGTGCAGGGGCCTGGGGCAATCATGTGGTTATGTACAGGGGCCTACAATGGTGTCAGGTATTTTGTGGGTATTGTCCTGGGCTGAGAGAAGGAGGCATGAGGAGCCTGGGGTGGGATGTGCGGAGAGGAGGACTCCTGCTTCGTCTCAGCAATGGCAGTGGTGCTGGTAAGTGATAAGGTCTCCAGATGGGCCAGCTCTCATGGGGGCTCACTGCCTTCTCTCTGCCTCCGTCCCCCGAGCCAGCATTTCAACCTGAAAATCCTCTATTCAGTGCACGAGAACCGGCTACAGATGGCCACCTCTCTGGACAGGTAGGCGCTGCTGTCCCACGCTGACACCCTCTACCTCTGATGGGTACTGCCAGTACCACTTGACTTCCTGCTCCAGTTTCCTCCCCGATCCACCCAGCGTGGCCATATTACCGTGGTCACTATCCCTGCCCAAGAACCCTCAATGGTTCCCCACTGTCTGCAAGGGACATTCTCAAATCTTAGCCCGTGGTTCCAACAAAATTACCAAAGCTTAGAGCCAGCTTGGGTCAAATGCCCAATTCTAAGCCAGTCACTGTGATTGAGAGATGATTCACTCTGAGTGCCCAGGCCTGGGTCATGTGCTCACCCTAGGAGCTTTGGACTCAGCTCCAGGAATGAGAGTGGAAAAGGAAGGTCTGCTACTGGTGTAGAGAATAGATGGTAAAAACCACCAGAGGGCCAGCATGCTCTGTTCTGGGCCAACATGGATTAGTGCCTAACCGGAGGCAGGGTGGAGGTGGGCCCAGGTGAGGGGCTTATACGCCGTGTCCTGCAAGGATCTGAGATGACCAGTTGGGCTGTAAGCCTCTGCACACCTGGCTAGGGCAGGAGCAGGAGGAGAGTCCCAGAGGGAGAGTCAGGACGGTGAGAGGAGGTGCACGACAGTCTAGTAGTTTGAGTCGTGGGAACTAGAATGGGCTGCACTGAAGGGGTGAGGGCCCTGTCCTCGGGAACAGGCAAGCAGGGACGTATGAGCATCTGGTCTGAAGGCTGCTGAGGGGACTCCTGTGTCAGGGAGACGTTGGAAGTGTTGGGATCCCCTTTCTCCAGGGCCAGGGCTGGTATCTCAGACTCCTCGCCCCCCACCACTTGCTTTTCTTCCTCCTCCCCCACAGATTACTGAGCCTGTCCCGAGAGTCCTCATCGATTGGTGACTTCAACGTAAGTGCCCCAAATTCTTCCTGGTCTGCCTTGAGGGCAAGCCAGGCCCTTGTCTTCTGAGCCTGCAGAGAAGAAGCCCTGAAATGGAGGCAGGGTAAACAGAGCAAGTGAGGCTTGGAGATCCCGACTTGCTGTGTGTGCTCAGGAAAGGCCCTAAACCTCTCTGCGTCCCAGTTTCCTTTTCTAGGTAGAATCTGGGCATCTGTCTGGATTGATTTTAAAACATTGCCCTGGATGGTGGAAGCCTCTACAACCTCAGGGCCCAGCACAGAATTGACCCTAGCGGACACCAATTAAAAAAAAAAAATGACAACAACAGCAGCAGCACCTACTCTATGTGTGTGTGTGCTTTACTCAAACTCATTCTACCCTCATGGAACCCGGTGCTGTTAGGGCTCCCCTTCTCAGACAGGAAAACTGAGGCACAGAGAGGATGCATGAATGGAGGAGGGAGGTCTACAGAGCCACCTCCTATCTCCTGAGGTGCCCCATTCCTGCACTGTGATCCAAAGCCCACGTGTCACCTGAATGGGGACTAAGCAGAAGCCCCTGAATGTCTCTGAACTTTTTTTTTTTTTGGAGAGATTTTCACTGTAGGGCGCGTGCGCTCGCCAGACAGACAGAGAGAGACATAGAGACAGAAAGCGAGAAATCACCCCCCAGGGGGGATGGTCACGCCGCAATCCTTTCTCCTCCATTCTCCTCTCGGGATCTTGAGCACGCACGCACACGCGCCCGGCGTGAGTTTTAAGCCACCGGGTCCGGGACACGAACCGCGGTCGACTACGTGGGAGTCCAGCGACATAGCCATTACGCTAACTGCTGGTTCCCAATGTCTCTGAACTTTTGAAGTAAAGATTTGTTGAGTCAGATCGGACTGGATTGGATGGAACTGAATCCAATGATGGGATGTGGATGTTTTTCTTGTCTCGTTCTCCTCCAGGAGAAGAAATTAACTGACTTCATTACTGATTATCTCCAAGAAGCCTATGTCCCGACTGTCAATGGTGAGGGCACTGACGGGCTTTGACTTTGCTGGTACAGAGCGCTTAAGCAGGAAGAGATGCCACCTAGGTGGTCTCCAAGCCCCATCATTGGCTCCAGGGGAGAGCTAAGGGGGAGTGGATAGTCATTGCTGATCTTTGAGGAAAATGTGGTCTTAACGTCATCTACCTGGGGACAAAGTTCCCTCCCACAATTTGCACTCCGATCCTTGGCCTTATACGTGAGTAAGCTCTTGACCTGAAATGCAGCTACCATGCAGATTGAGCTTATGCACTCACTGTCTGTCTACCTGGCAGACATCACGAATTGATCACTGCATTATTAACACCACGCTGCTCTGGAAAGTCACTCCTTAATCAATTTCAGGCCAGCCAGGCTGAGATAACTCTTATATTTCTCAGATGTGCTCCAAGTTGGGCTCCCACTCCCAGACTTTCTGGCCATGAATTACAACCTGGCTGAGCTGGACATCATAGAGGTGAGAGGCAGGGTGGGGAGGACATGTCAATTAACACTATTAGCCAATGGGCGATGAGCAAGAGCCTAGCTCTCTCAAACTAGATGGAGTGGGATAAGGGAGGGCAGGTGGTCATTGGTATAACCCTACCAATCCCATAAGCAAAGGACCTGGGGCCTTTCTTGGCAAGGCTTTCCCAGCAGGGTATTTGAACTCTGCTACTCTCTTGCTCTTGGGCAAATTACTTCACCTCTCTCTTGCTCTCCATTTTCCTGTGCTTAAAATAGGGTCAATGGGCATTGACCTCACAGAGCTGTTGGTATGATTCATTGAGATAATTCACTTAAATGCATACAGTAAGTGCTTAATCCATATTAGCTTTTCATTGCATGCCAGGCTTCAAGCTTGGAATGTTTAATGTACATTTCTCTTATCCTGTCTCTCTACTCTGGGAGGTAAGGATGCTTCTCTCCATTTGACAGTTGAGAAAATGGAGGCTCAGAGAGGTGGAGGGACCTCCCCACAGTTGTAAGGCGAGGCTCCCACAGCCTCTGCTTCAACTGCACTGGCTTCCATTTCTTGACAACAGGCCCAGTTCCATCCCCTCCTTGTGCTGGGTGACCCCTGTCCTTGCTCCCTCACCTCGATCCTGGCTCTTTCCTTCCTGCCAGAATGCCCTGGTGTTGAACTTGAGGCTGGACTGACCACGGCAGGACTCCCCTGCCAGCTGCCCGCAAATCACCAACTGACGGCACCCCGTGGAGGCGCTCCCTGGATTGAAGACAGGCGGGTCTGGACCCCCACCACCAGTGGCTGCTTCCTTTGAAAAGGAGTGAGTGGGACAGGCCTGGACTGGGGCCTTGCCAATAAATCAGAAAAAGGCCCTTACAAATATCCGGTGTTTCATCTCTTTGTAGCGAGTCGACATGTGGGTTTGTATCTCCGCTGGTGGGTTTTGGGGTCTCAGACGTGCTTGACTGGAGGGCAGCTGGTCACCGCCTGGAGGGTGCGCTTGAGCACATACTGAATACCAGCTGGGTGCCATGCTCAGGGCCCCACCTTTCATCTCATTTAATTACACAGTTGCCTTCCCCACTTTACCGATAATGACACTGAGGCATGGGACGTCAATTTCCTTGTTCAAAACCACACCATTTTAACAAGTGGAAAAGCTCTTCTCATCTAAACTGTGTGCCCCCAAGTCTCAATGACTCGATGGCTCTATTCAGGCTATTCCCTGAACCTTCCTCACGTTACCTCCTTTAATCCTCATGGCAGTCGAGGGAGGGGTAAGGAGAGTGAGGCTCAGAGAGGTGAAGAGACTGGCTCGAAGACACCTGGAAAACCAGGGGTCAGAGCTGGGATTGGAATTCAGGCTCTGGAGCCAGCCTGCTAGGGTTCAAATCCTGCCTTTGCCTCTGCTGTGTGTCCTGGTCATGTCACTTCACCAGTCTGAGCCTTGGTTTTGTCACCTGTGAAGTGGGCATCCCAATAGGACCGACCTCAGCAGGGTTGTCGTGAGGATTAAATGAATCGAATCACATGAAGTGTCGCACATAGTAAGCGCTCTGTGAACATCAGCCACCAGTGGGTCTTGGACGCCAAGGAGGTGGGAACGGGCACTTCTGTGCTAGAGCGTGCGAGGCTGGGTTGCCACGGGCCGGCATGTGCATGTGTGTGTGAGCACATGCCCGGGTAGAAACTGCCTCTGCACCAGAAGGCCCGGGGGAGGTGCTATGTAGACGTGAGTGCCCAGGGTGCAGAGGTTTGTGTGGGAAAGGCCTCTGGCGTCTGTCAGGGTCTGCGCGGGTCTGTGTGCTCCGTGCTCACTCACACGTTGTCTGTGCCAGGGGTGTTTCTGTGTCTCATGTGCATGGGAGGGTCCCTCCCCGACATCTGCCACATCTGCCCCATCACCCCTCCTGGGCTTCCCCCGATATTTTTCTGTGAACTGACTCCTTTCAAAAGTAAATGCACAAGGGGTCTTCAAGAAGCCCAGGGAAAATGCGTGTTACGAAAAAACTATGCATGGATTTCAAAAGTTTCTTACATCAAAATCAACCTGTGGGTCGGCAAGTGGCACGGAGGTGAAGACAGCTGGGTCCCACGTGGCCAACTGCGTTCAAACCCAGGACCCGAGAACAATGGCTCGAGAACAATGCTGGATGTGCGTGCGTGCCCCAAATCTGAGAGGAGAGTGGGGGGGAGAGGCTGGGGTGGCCATCCCCCCTGGGGTGTGCTTTCTTACTCTCCCTCTTTCTCTGCGTGTGCGCCCAGTGATCACATGTGCTGTATAACAAACTAAAATAGAAAAGAAAAAGGGAAAAAAAAGAAAAGAAACTTGTACTTTAACTTCCTTTCCCATAAATTCTCATGTGTCTATACATAATTAAAAGTATGATTTTTAAATAAATGTATTTTAAGTGGACCCCCAAAATCAGTGTCACTTACTAGAATGTCAAGAAAACATAGTTTTGTTTAAATAGAAATTTTACATTGGGACCTCCTATGAGGGCTGGTGCCCCATCCCTGGAAGTGACCGGGTGGCAGTGTGGTGTCTGTGTCTGTGTCCTGCTGTGTGTCCATTAGAATGTCTGAGTCCTTGGATGTGGGGGTCTAGGGGTGTCTGTGAGTGTGGGTGAGTTCATGTCTGGGCACGCATGTCTGTAGTGTGGTCAGAGCCTGGGCAGCCAGAGCTCCCTGAGCCCGCAGGGTCCTGGCAGGTGGGCCTTGTCCCAGCCTGGCATAGGCCCATGTCACAGAGGAGGTAGGGGCCTTCCCTGTGTTGGCCCGGATGCCAGGGCTGTCCCCTATCTCTTGTCGCCAGCCTTAATCCCATCACCCTTCATCTCCCCAGCTCTGGGACAAGGACAGCCTTGTGGCAAGCCTGGCAGGTTCAGACGCCAGGGTAATCTGTGGGCGGCTGAAGTCTGGCACTAGCCATGCCAGAGACATCTCGCTACTCCCCCCAGCCCTACTCTGGAGTGTACAGCCAGCGCTCTCACGGTCACCTGGAGCCTTGTTGCCAGCCTCGCCAGGCCCTGTGTGCAGATGGAGAAGCTAACCATTTAAGTCCAAGGACCTGGGTTTCGGCCAGACCTTGGGCACGACTCCTCTCTGGTCCTTGGCCTTCCCGTCTGTGCCGTGGAAGGGAGCTGGATGCTCTGACTGCTAATCTAAATTCAGCATTCTTCAAGTGGTCGGTGGTTACTTCCAATTCTCCTTGGGCAGAAATTGGGGGCTGGCCCAGCAGAGCAGCTACGCAGTGACCCCATTTCCCGGGCAGGCAGTGAAGGAAGTTCTATCCCCCTGGGCATTGCCCACCTCCCAAGACTCCCCCAGCCCTAGATGAGGAAGTGGAGGCCCAGAGAGAGAAGCAACCTACCCAGGGGCCCACGGGGAGCCCCTTTTGCCTGGGCCCACACCTCTTCCACGCTCCTTCATGCCACACTTAGCAGTGGCTGTGTCCTCCTCCTTGGAGACACTGAGGCACAAGGTCACGGAGTGAGGGGAGCACAGCCGGATCTCTGGTCTTGGGCCCACAGCTACTGACTCCTCAGAGACCCACTAGGCAGCCCAACGCTGGGAAGCTGAAGACCCCACAGTGCTCTCCACACCTATGTCCCATCAACTGCCCTGCCTCACCCTCCCCAGCCAGCTCTCAGTTGAGGTACACCCAGAAAGGCCTCCTGGGGTCTCCTGTTGTCTGATTTTCCTTTGGCTCCTCTTCCTAAAGCCCATTCTAGGATGCCTGTCCTCACAGCCAGACCCATTGAAGGTGGGCACTTTAGCCTCAGCCTGTTTTACAGACGGGAATGTGGTGGCTCGGTGAGATAAATCCCTTGATAGCAAGAGCTGAGATTTGAACCCAGGAGTCCTGGCTCCAGAGCCTTCTCTCGAGGAGCTAATGCCCTGGGGTATTTCTCCTTGTCAAGTCCTCCCTACTCTACTCTCCTCCTTGGCTCCCACCACTCATAGAGCTGCATGCCACACTGTCTCCAGAGGTTGCTAAGCATGCCAGTTCCAGGCCCTCCACTGCGGCCTGTTGAGCCAGGATTCAAAGATGAGGCCCAGAGACCTGTATTTAAATGAATCCCTTTCCATGCACTGACGTGACTTTGGTGCATGACACGAGATGAGGATTCCTGGAACTGGCGTGGGTCAGTCTCCTGGGGGGTAGGGTCTGGAAGGAAGCAGGAAGATGAGGCAGACCAGAAGTGAGGTAGCAGTTTCCTTTCTCTAAAGAGGCTGGACGGGGCAGTGATTAAGGTGGTGGGTGAGAGGGTCAGACGGCCTGGATGACCTCACTGGGTTGTTGTGGGGACTGGACAGGTTCACACACGCCAGTGACTCATATGGAGTATGAGTGCTCAATAAATGCTACCGATTACCTTTCGTTTCTCTCTTTTTTTTTTTTTTTTTTTTGAATTTTTTTTTTTTTTTGAGAGGTTTTTGCTATAGGATGCATGTGCTTGCCAGAAAGACAGAGAGAGGCACAGAGACAGGAAGCGAGAAATCACCCCCAGGGGGGATGGCCATGCCGTAATCCCTTCTCTATTCTCCTCTCGGGATCTTGGGCACACACGCACATGCACCTGGCTTGAGTTTAAGCCACTGGGTCTGGGATTCTAACTGCAGTCAACTACATGGGAGTCCAGTGACATAGCCATTATGCCAACTGCTGGTCCCATATTTTTAAAAAATAAAAGTTTATTTACTATTTTCCCTGAGCAAGAGAGACGGAGAGAGAGTCAGTATCCTCAACAGGGTCTCCATACCACAATGCACCCGCAGCCTTCAGCTAACCCCAAATCAGGGCACACACATGCCTGGTATACTCAGGGAGGTCTCTGCACTCGAACCCAGAAACTTCCCATGTGGGTCAACCTCACAAAACATCATGTTTTACCTCTGGACCACTGTCCAGAACCCTTTCCTCTCTTTTAAACAAGTGTCCTGAAAACACACCCAGTACTGCCGAGGCTGTGGAGTGACTGGAGGCTGGGGGTGGGAATGTGCACTTGGGAGAGCCGTGACCACCGCTAGCGAAGTAAGTGTGTGCATGCCCCCCTGTAATCCAGCATTCTGCTCCTCGCTATTTATCCACGAGAAACAGAAAATACAAACACGTGTCCCAGGCTAGCAGGTGGTGTGGTGGTTAAGATGCTGGACTCTCACATGGCTGACTGCAGTCTGAGCCCCGGACCCAGTGACTTGAAAATCACACCAGGCGCGTATGTGCATGTGCCCAAAATCCCAGCACGAGAATGGAGGAGAGGGATTAAGAAGTGGCATTCCCCCCCTAGGGGATGACTTCTCACTTTCCCTCTCACTGTCTCTCTTTGGCGAGTGTACCCTACGGCAAAAATCTGAAACAAAAACATACATCCACAAAAAGGCTGGCAAGAACATCATAGCAGCAGCATTTATAATAGGCGGCAGCTGGAAAGCCCAGGAGCTGTGGCCCGGAGGTGATAAACTGACTGGGGCATCCCTGCAGTGGGTAGTGAGTGCAGGCAGGGGAGTACACCCCCTTCCACACACAACAGTGGGAGTGAAGCTCCCGGACATAAAGTGAGAGAGAGCCCATACAGAGGGATACACACATGTGATTGTGCTCAAATGACCACCAAGAATGTGCCGGATTCATTCTCTGTGTTAGAGGTTAGGGCAGGCGTCACCCTTGGAGGGCAGGGACTCAGGGGACACCAGAGGGGCTTCTGGAGTGCTCGGGTTGTGAAAATTCACTGTGCTGTACAATTGTGATCCGTGCCCTCTTCTGAATGTAGTTTTGTATTTCAATAAAAAGTTTATTTTTTATTTATTTTATCTTTAGGT